CTCATTGTCACGTGCACTATTTAACATCTCCATGAGCACATGTAAAGTGGAATGGGAGTTTACATTGATAGAAATTGCTTACATGATTCCTCCAATCATTTTTCTTTCTATATTAAAGGTTCAATGAGCTGATGAACTTGCATAGTTTTGGAGATTTGTCTTACTCCTAGGCTCCTAGTATTAAAATCTCAAAACAAATTGTATTTTTTAAATATGATTCCCTTCTATTGTGTGATACAGACATGGAAAAGGAAGGCCTGCTTCTTGATCAAGCTCTACATCTAAGAACTGCAGCTTTTGAGAAGCTAAAAAAAAGTCGACAGGATATTATTGTTGTAGCATCACTTATTGATCGAATACCTAATCTCGCAGGTTTGACACGGACATGTGAGGTGTGTATCATTTTTTATTGTTTGCCTGTTTGTGGGTCATGCAAGGGTTTGTTAGCTCAAACCATGAAATTTGTTCGACTCCCCTTGTATAATCCATTTTTTTCTCTAATGATTTCTTTGCAGGTGTTTAGAGCAGGCGGGCTAGCAATTGCAAACAAAGAGGTTCTAAAAGACAAGCAGTTCCAGCTCATCAGGTTTTGTAAATCTGCCTGTTAGTTTTTTTCCTGTTGAGAGTTTAAAATAATGTCAGTGGCCTCTACAGCACAGATCAATGAAAATCAAGAATGTTGTAGATTCTTTGCCCTAAGTCCTCTTCTTCTAGGAACACTGTATAGTGGTCATGTTTTACCCAGGTTTCCAAGTATTTCCACTCAGTTTGGGTCCTTGTTTGGATCTATAAAAACCCAATTCCACTATCACTGATTTCTTTTTGCACAATTGACGTGTGTTTACTTTTCTATAGTAAATACTCGATTTAGTCCTTTGAACTAGTAGTCTAGTACTCCATTTGGGACTCAACTTTTTATTCTACTTAAATTGGTTCTCAAGTTCTCGAATATTCAGTTTGAATACAATTTAGTCTTCACACAAATTTGGTTCTTAATAAGATGAGTAGTTGTGTCCATTCATGAAAATTTAGACCTAGTTTTGGGCTAGTTTTTGCAGTCAACTAGTTGGACCCAATTCAGTCCTTGGCATACGAAAGTGTTGTTCTTAAGAAGATCAGTATATGCATGAGTGTTCTACACTGGAACAGAATTGTATAATCGAGGATCAAATCGATGCCATAAAGAAATTCAATGACCATCAAGTAATACCCACCCCTGTCCTATAATTTTCATCCCCATTTCCTTTTGGGATGTTCCAATTTTTTATTCCCATTTTCTTTTCGTTTTATGGGAAGGTGTGTGTGGTACTGTGGTTGGTATTGTTTCCCTCCTTTATAGATCAACCAAAACCATACAATTTCACTTTTTTATACGGAGTAATAGCTTGCTATTATTTGTGCATTGTGCAGCAGTGAAAATCATAAAGAATGAACTGTCTACACAATTTTTCTTGTTGAGTTCTGCTTTTTAACGAGTGTAACCTTTCTTGTTTCTAGTGTAACTGCAGAGAAGTGGGTCCCCATTCTAGAAATACCCGTAAGTAGTATCAAAGCGTTTCTTGAGAAGAAGAAGCATGAGGGCTTCTCCATCTTGGGTCTGGAGCAGACTGCAAATAGCATATCTCTTGACCAGTATGCCTTTCCCAAAAAGACGGTATGCCACATACACGTTACCGTATAGTCCGTTTGGCGTTTTTATTTTTTGATTGGGTAGTCTTGTCATTCAGTTTTTTAATTAACATCTAATCTTTGACTGCATTATTTAAATCCCCAATAGACACGAAAAATTGTAGCAAGTTTTTTTATTGAACTCAATAATAAAATGAAGATAAATGATTTTTCTACACTTGAGATATTATTTCTTTTATCTTAATCTTTTAAAAATATTAAATATGGAGCACTCTAAATGAAATTGAGCCCAAGCAGCCCATTCTTTCATCATATTCAGTTCATTAGTCATTTCCACCGAATATACCCTACCCTAAATGGGAAGTTGATAATTACTTGTAATTCTTGGATGCGTGCTTCCCCAGGTTATATATCATAGTTAGATTATCATATCTCTTCTTAATAATACTTGTGACAATTAGATTTGCAATAAGATTAGATTACTGCATTTTCCCAGGTGCTTGTCCTTGGGCGAGAGAAAGAGGGCATACCAGTGGATATTATCCATATATTGGACTCTTGTATTGAGATACCACAGCTGGGAGTTGTTCGTTCACTCAATGTTCACGTTAGTGGTGCCATTGCTCTTTGGGAATATAGTCGACAGCAAAGATCCCAGTAACCTTGTTTACTGGAAGTCCTATCGAAAACATGTAATGGCGCATTTTGTGTGTCTGTGTAATAATAATCAGAAATCAGAACTAGGGTGCTGATCAACTTGAGACTGATGCTGTTATTCAAATTATTCTAAAAAACGCGAGCTGCTCAATTTTGAGTTAATATTTGTTTTTTAAATTCATAAATTTAAGCATTACATTAGATGGTTATAATATAAATTTATGCGTAAAATTATATATATCTCCTCACTAAAAATATATTAATGTTGCACATGTTGCTTAATGTTTAAGATGACATTCTAATTAGGGACATACCCGGTCTGGAACCAGGTCTGGCATTGTTTAGGACTAAACTGGGTCCAAAATTTCCACTCTTGGGCTTGGGATTGTTCGCTCACGAGGGGTAGATTCACCAATTTGGGGATCGAACCGGGTGATTCCGATTCTAGTATTGGTTGGGAGTCTCAATTTTTTAGCCGGGCAAAAAAAAAGAATGGGATTGGGTCCAGATCGGTTCAGGCTTGGGCTTCTCTAAACAATGACTATGAGTTTAGGACCGGCTAGGTTAGATAAATCATAACTGGCAAAGAGAGCTTTAATTTCTAAGTGACAACTAGGTTGAGAATTATAAACCTCCCTTTTACGTTTAAAGAATTAGTGACATTCCTCATGTGTGTTTATACATCGGTAACAAATAAGATCATCGGTTTAAAGTAGTACTCCCTCAGTCCTGCTAAGATTGTCTCATTTTATCTGTTCGGGAAGTCCCACTAAGATTGTCTCATATAAAATTTGGTCAAGATTGTGTGGTTTTAAATCATTCTTACTTTATTCTTACTTTATCAATTTAAGACTAGGGATGGACTCGGGCCGGGTGGCCCGACCCGGAACCGGCCCGGGACCGGTACTGTTCCGGCCCGGCCTGACCCGGTGGCCCGGTCAGTGACCGGTCCGGGTAGGCCCGGCCTGTGGGTTTTCCGGTCCGGGCTCGGGTCACCCAAAACAAGGCCCGACCTGGCCGGGCTCGGGCCCGGTTCGGGCCAAAAACTATTTTTTTTTCTTTTTTTTCAATTTTTTTTTCAATTTTCGGGTTGGGCTGGGTATTTTGGGCCATTTGGGGTGGTTTGGGGGGTTGGGGGTGGGAGGGGGTTAATTAGGAAGAGGAAAACAAAAAAAAAAATATAACGGGCCCGGCCCGGCCCGGACCCGGACCGGACCCGGTGGTTACCTGGGCTGGTCCCGGGTCCACCATTTCTGACCCGCCGGCCCGCCCGGGCCTAGGCCCGGACCCGGCCCGGACCTGAGTCCATCCCTATTTAAGACGGAGTATCAACAACACACTCACTTTTCTTAATAATCGTGCCACCTTCTCTCGTCCTAATCTTAGCGACTTAGTGGGACGGAGATAGTATATTATTTTAAAAAAATAGATGAAAAAAGAATGTTTTTACTTGGACTGCGATTTGCTGATCTGGTCTGGTTTGTTTAAGTTTGGTTCGATCTGGTCTGAATTGGTCTGATCTAGTAAACGTCTGGTCTCTGTGTATTTTATATCTACCAAAGTCTTGTATGTTCTGGTTTGGTCTGTTTAAGTTTGGTCTGGTTTGGGATTGAAAATAGTTCAGATAAAAACATCCAACTCTAATTCAAATTATATATTTTTAAGTGGAATGAACTCTACTTTTCTTTATCAAGAACACTCGGTAAGATCTAATACGAACTAGAATAAGGTCCACTTGATCAGCACACCTTGCTAAAACCCTTACCGGACTGTTTTGAGTTGATACAGTTCTAATTTTTTTAGAATTGATTTTCCAGTTCCAACTTCCAAGCTGTTTCTAAACCAAATTCCAAACTTATTTTGAAAAAACAAGGAATGGGAAGGCAATATGTAGGCAAAGCCGAGGCATATATGGCTGGCTATATGCCTATATGTACTCCAAAGTATCTAATTCTTGAAATAAATGATTTCAAGAATGTCGTTAGGGGAGAGCATTGGATGGATTCAGAGAGCACAAGGTTGGTTTAGTTAAACCCGTTTAGTTATCAGCTGCTGAAACCCTACCTTGATAAACAAGTTGGTTTGTCACATAAGCATGTTCAGATTTTGTCAAACGGACAAACATACCTAATTTTCAGTTTAGACACTCTTAATTCTCACTGGAAAGATCTTACAAACAAGTTGTTTCAATCCCAAATGCAATACGGTGATCAAATTCCCAGTTTAAATGACCATACGTAGCAGTAGGGTTGGACTCGGGCCGGGCCTAGGCCCGGTCGGGCCGGCGGTTCTATATAGCTGGACCCGGGACCGGCCCGGGTAGCCACCGGGTCCGGGCCGGGCCGGGCCTCAGGTTTGGTTAATTTTTTTTTTTTTTTGCTGAGCTACCCATCCCTGACCCCCCCCCCTCACCCCCAAACCCCTCCTAAACATGAAGCCCAACCCGGTGGAGCCCAAACAAATGAAAAAAACCAAAAAAATAAATAAATTTGGCCCGAACCGGGCCGGGCCTAGTTATGGGTGACCCGAGCCCGGACCGGAAACCCACCGGGTCGGGCCTACCCGGACCGGTCACTGACCGGGCCACCGGTTCAGGCCGGGCTGGAACAGTACCGGTCCCGGGCCGGTTCCGGGTCGGGCCACCCGGCCCGAGTCCAACCCTACGTAGCAGTTTGAGTAGGAATAAAAATCCCCAAAAGGCCAAAACACATCTACTTGCCTTCAAGGTGTTCCATTTTGGCACCGTTGCAGATATATACAGTATAGAATAACAACTTGGAGTATCAGTTTAGTTGCAATTAACACACAGTTCGAATCCGTTCAATACGAGTTGGTAAAAAAAGACACAATACCTCTGAATTAGTCACCAGTTAAAATTACGTATGGGAATACTCATAAGAGAATCTAAGTATCAATACAATTAATATAAGCGTCAGTGCAACATGCCTGAACCGATAAAAACATTAGTCGGATATCCTCATACTTTTACATAAAGAGTTTTCTGTATTCAGCTGCCTCTTGAGCCATTTCCTCTAAGGTTCTGTCCTTCCTGTCCTTATCCAAGTCGAGGGATTGCTTTAGTTCCTTCTCCTTTTCATCCAACTGAACCACACACAAAGATGATTTCTTATAAGGTCTGAGGCTTCTCAGCTAATGAAGTTGAGAGGTTTATAAAACATTACAGGAATTTGATCCTTACAGCATCATAAATTTCATCGTTTTTTTCAAAGTCACCAGCTTTGCGGGGGATGATGTGAATATGAACATGAGGAACAGTTTGCCCTGCCTGAGGTCCATCCTAAAGATATACAAAAGAGACAAAAGTCAGCATTAGTATAGTTTAGTATAATTTTAAAACATTAGTATAATTTACCGAACTTCGGGATTGTGCTTAAGAGTATGAAAATGAATATACAAACATCTCCAAAACCAATAAGTAAAAAATATTAGCATGAATCACAAACTAGCAGTTAGACAACCTAAGTCTTTACAATATGCCATATTAAAATTAAGTTAAATTCTATGAATTTCACAAAAAATATATAAATGGAGTGAATTTACTGAAAAATAGAAACCGGTTTGGGCTAGGCCATACCGGCGGTTCACGGCTTTCAAATGGAAGAAACAATCACTATTTGCATTCATCTCCCACAATTTGTAAAATGAGTGAATTTTTCAGGAGAAATGAAATTGATATCATCTAGCCCTCCCAAATTGTTTAAGGCTTTCAGAAAAATACTCCCTCCGTCCTGAAAAGGTTTGCCAAATTTCTTTTTTTTGGATGTTCCAAAAAGATTTGGCATTTTCATTTAAAGTAAGGAATATGTGGCTAAAGTTAATTCTTTCTCCTCTGCACAAATTTCAACCACACAATTTTTACTTTATTAATCCACGTGAAAGTCAAAGTTGGCGAATCTTTTTGGGACGGTGGGAGTAAATGATTTTGCAAAACCCTTGCAACTCACTCACATCGCAGGGGCCATAATTTGAGAATCCTTCTCCCTCAATTTGAATACTTTGAAAAATAAAAATGGGAACCAAAAAGCCTAGTTCTTCCAGAACAACATAACAAGCAACTCAAGTCAATATAGCAAACTTCAAGCGCAGGTCATAATGAATACAATACCAAAAAGCCTAGTTTTCCCAGAGCAAATTTGTATTGTATTCATTATGAATTTTGATGATATATAACTTAATTTTCTTGGAATTTTTTTATTTGTGCTGATGAGATACTCGTATTATAGAAATGAAATATTTTTTATTGTGTAAATGAGACATGATTTGGAAAAAAAACTGTTTTGTGCATTTGGGTAGTATTGTAAATGACAAATTTCCGAGATGAAATCGCTAATAGACTAGTTACAAATGTTTAACTTTAAAATATTGTTGTAAAATTCTTGACTTTTTTATAATGTAATGCGACTCTTATTTAAGTAATTCATAATATAATATTTTTCAGACATGAAATAATCGTTCAGAACAAGGAAAGTAATCAGACAGTATACACTCAGTACTTATTCCAGACATGAGGATTATTTGGTCATTTAACATAATTCAGACATCTCATTCAGCACATATAGTAAACACTAAACAATTTGTTATCTCAGTGTCACTTAATTCAGACAAACATCTTAATCCAGAAAGACGTCTTAATTCATTCAGGACTTGATGAAAAAAAAGTAAACAACCCCTAATAGATTTATAGATTTGATATATATGTCCTATATATTCTGTTGGTCCAAAATAGGACGCTCGTAGGCTTTTAGGAAAGCTACGTACGACACTCAAGCATGAATTAGGAAAGTACGAATATGGAAAGTTAGCCAGAAAAAGCATCCCTGTATTTGAAATTCGAATTGCCTTTTATAGGCGATTACAAATGGTAACTGCCGAACATAATAATGACTAAATTAATTACAACATTAATACGGAATTAAACACATAATTAAGTCGCGCATTGATTGTTGGCCGTTACTCTTCCTGGCTGGCAGGTCAGCCTGGCTGGCAGGTCAGCCTGGCTGGCAGGTCAGCCTGGCTGGCAGGCTGGACGCTTGAGCTCCCCCCCTGCTGGACTGGACGGTGGGCTTCCCGCTAGGCTGGAGGAAGGCTTCTGACCGGGCTGGAGGCAGACTCCCGGGTAGGCTGGAAGGCAGGCTCCCCGTTGGGCTGGAGGCAGGCTCCCACCTGGGCTGGACCGCAGGCTCCCAGTTGGGCTGGATCGCAGGCTCCCCGCGGGGCTGGTGGTCGGCAGGCTCCTGGCTAGGCTGGAAGGCAGGCTCCCGAGTATGCTGGAAGGCAGGCTCCCCGTTGGGCTGGAGGCAGGCTCCCACCTGGGCTGGACCGCAGGCTCCCAGCTGGGCTGGACCGCAGGCTCCCAGCTGGGCTGGTGGTCGGCATGCTCCTGGCTAGGCTGGAAGGCAGGCTCCCGAGTATGCTGGAAGGCAGGCTCCCCGTTGGGCTGGAGGCAGGCTCCCACCTGGGCTGGACCACAGGCTCCCAGCTGGGCTGGTGGTCGGCAGGCTCCTGGCTAGGCTGGAAGGCAGGCTCCCGGGTAGGCTGGACCGCAAGCTCCCAGTTGGGCTGGACCGCAGGCTCCCGGGTAGGCTGGAAGGAATGCTCCCGGGTAGGCTGGACCGCAGACTCCCAGTTGGGCTTCCGCTCCTTGATTGCCCTGGTTGGTTGGGCTGACTCGAGCTCTGGGTTGCTGGGCTTGGGCCCGCTGGCCCACTCCCTTAGTCGAGTAGTAGACTCGGCTAAGAGGGAGTAGTTTAAGTCAGCTGCCGATTTAAAAATATTCACATATCAAGGAACCATAATTGCGGATTATGTGAATCCCGGAGTTTATGGAAATTCCCAAATTAAATCAGGCTCCCCAAAAAGGCTCCAAATAAATTTCTTCAGCATCCTAGCACTCCAGCCGTCAATTTTCTTCCGGACATCAGAATCCAGGTCAGCTCCCGAAAATTCCTTTCCTTTTCTTTTCTTTCCTTTTCTTTTCTTTCCTTTTTTTTCTTTTCCTTTCTTTTCTTTTCTTCCTTTCTTTTCTTTTCTTTCCTTTTCTTTTTCTTTTCTTTCTTTTCTTTTTCCTCTCTCTCCTGGACCCTGCGCGTCTGCTTCCTCGCGTCTCCCCAGCGCAGCGCCGCAGTCAACCCAGTTGACCGACGCCAAATCAGCTGTCCAACGTCGTCCAGGGAGTTGGCGGCTTCCGGCTGGTTGAACTGCCTCAAGGTTGTTGATGTGTCTCCCAGGCCGGCGGAATGGACCTGAGTCGTTCAAATAGTAAGGAAGTTCACATGGCATTTCTCAGGTCACGGACAAATTCCTCCAAATGACGCCTCCAGGCAACCGGCGAGCTGCCTTCCCGGTCGGTGGTGCGGCTCCCAAGCTGACGGTGTAGCTACCGGGTCAGGCTTGATTAATCCCATATCTTCATCTTGTTTTCCTCCATGTCGAACAGCTCTTCGCGGGTCAGCGGCGAAGCCAAAGCAGTCGGTGGTCAGTGCTCAACTCCTAGGCCACCCGATGTCTCAGAACCCAGGTCGGTCAGACAGCTTCGTAGGTAAGCAACGTTGCTGATGGGTCGGCGGCTCTCAGGGCGGTTGTCTCCGAGATGAACATCAATAGGCTTCCACTTTACCTCTCTTGATTTTTTTATGATGGTTTGTCATTGTTTGCAGAGAGCTCTTTTACAATTCTGACAAGGCTAAGGTTGTGGTGGCAGGCGGCTAGGCGGCTAGGCGGCTAGGCGGCTGGGCAGCAGGGCGGCCAGGCGGCCAGGCAGCTAGGCGGCCGGGCGACAGGGTGGCTAGGCAGCCAGGCTGCAGTGCGGCAAAGCGGCAAGGCGTCTGGGCGGTCTGGCGGCCGAGCGGCAGGGTGGCCAGGCGGCAGGGCGGCCAGGCGGCCAGGCACTTGCATAGTTTCAGGCCTCAACCACGTTTTCACATGTGCTTGAACAAATGTGATGAGAAAGAGATAACTCCATTCAACTTAGCGACCATCTGTCTCGAAGAGGATGACCATCTAGCGAGGACGACGCCACAGTGAATTTCGATAGAATTTCTTGAGATTTCTAGTGACTCTCATGCCCGGATCATTATACTTGATGGCCATGGGAACATCCGACCATGACTGTTGCACCTTTTTTTTGTAGCTTGTAGCCGCCATATGTAAAATTCGAATGAATATTACCTTTTAATTCATATGTTTCCTTTTCTATACTTTGCATTACGAATACTTAGCAATTTATTCGGGGATCTGGCTTCTCTAACCTCCCGGGGGCGGTTAGGCTGGCGTGGCCGAGCCTATCCGTGCCCCTCCTAGTTGGATAGAAGTGATCTGTTCGCTATTGATATGGAATCAACAAATAAGCGACTTGTTTGGCCAGCGATGTCGGACATTGAACCGACGAGGAAGACCCTTAGGTCGGTATCCTGAACGTTCATGACCCGGGGGTCAGTCCTACTGTCACTTTAACCCATCCAGTTTGCCCGGACTTAGGGGAATAATCTGGTTACTCCCGCATGGATAGCCAAACAACAGGGGCGGACCCTGCATGATCCACCAGAACGAACCCGCACCGCCAACTCAGGGATGACGAGAGTGCGAGCTGTTTGGCCAGCGATGTTAGGCGGTGAGCACTCGAAAAGACCCGGAGGTCAGCATCCTAAGTACCCTCGACCCGGAGGTCGGCCCTACCATCGCCTCGACTGTCGCGGCTAGCTCTTTACTTTAGAAAATTGCCCGGATTCTTGAAAATCACTTGGCTATTTTCGGTTAAAGAGCCTGGCCGAGGTCGGCCAAACACCGAGGGGGGGCATAGTACCTTTTTTTTTTTGTCGCCGCCGCCCTTTATTGCTAAGTGAGGTCGGACCTCTTTTGATGACAAAATATCGCTAGCAAAGTATATTGAATTCATGATGTGGGCGGACCACATGAAGAATTACAAATTGTAATCCCGGGCTCGGAGCACAGGAGTTTACAAAGAAAAGTGAAACTTCGATTTTCTACTGGTAAAACTTCATCAGGTGCTCGGCATTCCAGACGCGGTCTACCAACCGGCCTGTTGTTGTCTTCAACTTGTATGTCCCAGGGCCGATCACTGCGTCAACCACGTAAGGGCCTTCCCACTTGACGGAGAGCTTACCTCCCTCTGTCGGCCTGCTGGCCTTCCTACGTCTTAGGACATAATCACCGACGTCAAAACTCCGGGGTCGGGCTCGGCTGTCTTGGTACGCCTTGACTTGTCGTCGATAGTTTTCCGCTTTGATGAAGGCACGGTCTCTTCATTCCTCAATGAGG